TGAGCTTCAGCCCTTCCCCAGCGTCCTCCCCCCAGCTCTCTGCGCCTGCTGCCGCGCTTTGAGGCTGATGCAAAGCGAGGTTTGAGGTTCACCAGCACTGTTTTTCCCAGCCACTTGCGTAATCCCCCCCCTGCAGCCCCCGCGCTGGCTGGGGAGGCTCGGGGTGGGGGGGAAGACAAGAGGAGGAGGAGGAGGGAAGTGCTGCTTCCCGCAGCTTCAGCCGTGCCTCTTGACTGCTAAATATAGAGGCAGGGGTGGGTGGTGGGATCCCCCCAGACAAGGCTGCTCCCTCATACAGGCTGGTGGAGGTGCTGCCGAGGAGCGGCGTCCCGGCTTCAGTGTTCTAACGTAGCTGGAGCTGTCAGCCACCGGCCAGAAAGAAGGTGCTGGGCTCTTGAACCTCTTCCCTGGCCTGCCTGTCCTCCTCCTGCCTGCAAATTCACTCCAAATAAACATTTCATCTGCCTTTCGCCAGGCTGGGGGCTGCTGGGAGAGGCACGGGGAGGAGGATGGGGTGTGCCAAGGGCAGGACCATGAAGCCCTGCACGTCCTCTGCATCTCACATGAAAAATTAAGCAGGTTTTGGTGCTTAGCAAGGTCCCCGAGCCTCTCGTGGCAGAGGTGCTGCCCTGAATCCTCCTCTACCACGAGGAAAGGTGGGTGCCAGGGCTGGCTGCTCGGCCTGTACCACTCCCAGTGCTTTGTGCCATCCCATCCTGGCTGGTCACAGAAGCCCGTTGTTCAGTGGTGGTGATGCGGGCCAATTTGGGGACAGTCGTGAATTGTCTGCATTTTGGTCCCCTGGGTGCCAATTCCACCATCAGGCAGGAGCGAAGGGTACCCTTCGCCCATCCCCACAGCCTCGTCAAATTCGGTGCCCGCCTCTGCTGTGGTGGGGACCGGCCCAAGGGCTGCCACAGCGATGTCTCTGCTCCACATCCCTGCTGTGGGACATCGGGGGGATCAAAATAGGTTATGGACACTCCTCCGGCGGCCAAACACAGGACCTTGTTGTGCACCTTGGGGCTCTGATGGCATCTCCTCTTCCCCCCACTGCAGGTTCCCCACTACGAGTTCCTGGAGCTGAAGCTGGAGCGGCAGCGGACAGCCTACCTCAAAGACAAGCTCAACAAGGTCATGGCCAAAGAGATGGCGAGCTAACGGCGCCGCTCTGCCTGGCCTCTCTGGCAACGCTTGTCTGTGTTAAAAACGTGTTCAAATAAAACCACCGCTGTACAGTGCCGTGGTTTGGGGTGGCGGGGGATGTCTGTGCCGGTTGGCACACGGCATTGGTTTTTCCCTGGGGTGGGAGATGGCTCCGTGCCGATGCTTGGCAGGACCCGCTTCACAGCCTCTGGAGGAAGCTGGCTTAAGCCAGGGTTTAGGATTAAGAGCCATCCCAGCCTCTCTTATTGCTGTCTTGTTAGCGGGGCTTTGTCCCGGGGCGGCTGCGCAGTGCGAGAGGGGAGGGAGGACGGGCAGGGCCAGCTCCTGTGCCGTGCTGTGCCGCTTCTACCCAGAGCAGCAGGACCCCTGGAGCGTGCACTGGGACGTGGGGGGCTCTAACGGGGAAGGGTTAGATCCTGCCCCACATCATGCCAGCCCCAAACACCCCCCCCAATACCCCCGCAGCTTCCCCCTCATCCTGACAATATGCACGAGGTGTCCCCCGTGTCCCGTGGGACACGTGCACCCAGGCTTGGGGGGGACGAGGTGGGTCAGGAAAACCCTGGGTGCCATGACGCACTGGGGCCGGCTGCCAGGAAGGGCTTTGGGGATGGATTAGGTGCCATCTGGCCACCGGGATGCTGCTGGTCCTTGCCACGTCCCTTCCAGCCCTTTCTGGCTGGGGGGCACAGCCTGATCTCCTTCCTCCAACCCACACCGTTGGGGACCACGGCCTTTCTCCTGGTGCTCCGCCATCCCACAGGCCGGGGATACGGTGCCAGGAGAAGGCCGCAGCAGTGCGGCGAAGTTTACCGGAGGCAGCCGGGAGATGCTGAGTCACGGCTCGGGTCTGCTCCTGGCCCCAGCATCGCGGCGGCACCGGCATCGGCGCCAGCCGCACTCCGTGCCCGGGGTGGCAGCCAGCACCCAACCGTGCCTGTGCCGGGTGCCAGCCTCGCTCCGTGCCTGGCGGCAGGCACCGGTGTCCTTCCATGTTCTCCAGCCGTGCCTCAGTTTCCCCTCAGCATCCTTCGGTGGGGGCTTCCTCTCCCTGCAGCGTGGGGTGGTGGGGTTACCTGGGGGGGGGTCTGGTCTGGTCCATCCCCAGCTGGGACAGGGTGTCCTGGGAGTGCCCGGTCCCCCAGGCATCTCCTTCCCTCCACCCAAGGAGGCATCTGTCTGTCTGTCCATCCAGCCAGGCTCTCCCCACCACCAGCCTTTTGGGGGTACCACCACACACACCCCCCCAATGTTGCCAGGGAACCATTCTCCTCTTCCTCACCATCACCAGGGAGACGAGAGGAGGAGGAGAAGGGCCGTTCCCATGGCGACTGCGCAGGCACCCATCCTGCCTCCCCAGCGGTACCCGGGCGCGGGGCGATGCCTGGGGGACACACGGGGTGTCGTTGTCGTCGTCGTCCCCTGATACGTCTGGCATCACCGCCTGCGTGCAGCTGCGTTTTGGGGGGGGCTCAGCACCCCCCGACCACCACCACTTACACTCAGGACATTGCTAGATGCTCTGCCTCCTTTTTTTAGGGGGGGAGGGGGATAAAAATCCCACCTCCATCCCCCTTTTTGTCAATCCTGGCTGGGGAAACTGAGGCTGGGG